ATTATTTCATTCATACCTAACTAATTAAAATGTACAATATTCTTTACGAAATACGTAAATAAAGAGTTCATTTTGATGAACAAAAGTATTAATTTTCGTATTCAATTTATCAGTAAATTGTTTTATAGAGAAGTTAATTTTTAAGGTTTATATACATTAAGAGATTTATACATATGTATAGAATGATTTTATACCTGCCTTAATTACCTGAATTTTACTATCCTTATTTTTTATACTAAAACATAATATTTCACTTTACTTACTTATTCACTTTATTATTTATCTATTGTCAGCGACACAATTAAAGTTAATTTACGTAATTTAGTACACACGCGTTACATAGTTATTACAACACGTATTATAATAGTTATGCAATTAGTATGCTTATTATTAGTTGACTATAATGTTTTATTCAATTCTTCATTGATAAATATTTCACTTTAATGAATAATAGAAAATACGGCAAAAAATATTTGTAGTTATTTCCGATTTTGTCATGACTATATTACTTTTGTAACTTTAATATTCAAGTGAATTTATGTGTATTTTAGATTATTTAAAATTTGCGATTAATGCATTTTTAAATCTCCTCCCCGTTGTTTTCGTATAATGCATGTAGAGATGCAAAATGCAAAAGTGAGTTCAGAAGATGCCGGTATAAAAATCGTATGGCGTCACAGGACGAAAACATGGTAGAGGTGTATCGGATTTTATCGTGTGTATTTCAATTTCACAGCTAAGAACGTTAATTACCTTAATTATGTGAAAGTAAATTAATCAAATATAATATTTTTGATCTTAAGATTTAACAAAATAGGCTTTTCTCAATAAAAAGCCTTTTTGCTGCAATGGTAACAATAACGAAATTGGTGCTCATCGCAGTTATTTATGGTAAAGTTATTTATCGCCATTAACTGTTTATAAGACGTAACTTTGTTGTGGATACTAGTTTGATAAAAATATGAAATTAGTATTAAGTAGTAAATTACTTCATAACCTCCAAATGTTACCGATCGATAACTTACTAAAGTTTAGTGTTTAGCATTAAAATCTTTAATTTGATTTCATTCATTGAAATGTCTTGTTTATTAATTAGATTTGTTTAATATTTTAAAGATGACATTTCTTTTTATTAATGTTTTTACTGGCTGTTTTTACTGTTTTTAACTGGATATATAAAAACCAATTATGTTGAAATTTTAATAGATAATATCTTTTTTAAATATATTTAATTTTTTTAAACATTTACTTGTGATTTTAACATTTATTCCTTTTATTTGCATACTCTGTACTTTTAAAACTACACTTAATTTATATGCATATAAAGTAATTTAAATTGACTTCATTTATGTTATTATCTTTTGATACAGTTAGTATTATTAAAACATAATTCAGTTTTTTCAGGTATTTTTACTCCTGTAATAGCATCACGTGTACTTGAACTAAGCGACAGGTATATAATGATTGATGTCTGTTATATGTAGACTATGGTTGTTTATGCATTTTTGGGAAATTTAGGATTCCAAAAAAATCTAGAAGTACATACAATATGCAAAAATATATACAATATTTAAAGTAGATCACTTGTTATGATATTTAGGAGACAAAACAAATTTCTACTTAGATTTCATTTTTTTAATTATGTTCATAAAAGTATAAAATTGCATGAACATCCAGTTTAGTTATATTTTATATTTAATTAATGATATATATTTACATGTATATGTATAAAATTTTAAATATTCAATTTTTTAAATAGATTTTTGGATATTCATAAAGATGGGCAGTGGCTTGTCATGGTATAAATATAAAATATCTGATACATTATGTTTTTATGTAAAATTACTGCTTATAAACTACAAACATTACTTTTTCTATAGATGTATGCACCATGGTGTGCACATTGCAAAAGATTAGAACCAATTTGGTCTCATGTAGCGCAACATTTACATGCGACATCAATAAGAGTTGGAAGAGTTGATTGCACCCGATTTACAAGTGTTGCTCATGCTTTTAAAGTTAAGGGATTTCCAACTATTATATTGTAAGAACAAAGTTGGATTTATTTTTATAGCTTTGTATATATATACATTTAGTGATACATTTCTCTACTGGTATTATTTCTCTTTTCTATATAGCTTAAAAGGTGAGCAAGAATTTGTATATCATGGAGATAGAACACGAGATGAAATAGTAAAATTTGCATTAAGAGTAAGTGGCCCACCTGTTCAAGAAGTAACAAAAACTCAAAGTTTCGACACAATTAAAAGGGAACGTGATCTATACTTTTTATATGTTGGAGAACGATCTGGACCATTATGGGTAAAATAAAAATTTTGTTTTGCATAAAAACTAATAGAAATGTTATTAATGTTATGAGCTGAGACTTCGAGCAACGCGAGAAGCCGGCGAACATATTCTTATGGAATACAGTTACAATACTAGTCTTGACTAATGGTCTATCATGTAACTTTGATCAATAAAAATCGACGCGATTCGAGTGATAAAGTTGTATCGTGTGGGTACGTTCAATTATGTTGTACAGGATTGCGGGATTGGATGTTAGGTTTTAATAATTATACTCGAATTTATACAAGAATACAAATATATGCATTGTAATCAAGAGATTGTTCTATGTGAGTGTGTATCGCGGATAAATGAGTATTATATGCGTTACCTTATGGTTTGGTTGCTCAGTTTTGACGCACTGGCAATGCGGAAACTAAGAGCAGCGTGAGGGATTGTTAAACAGAATTTAGACCGACACGCGGACTTTGAAGGGTTAAAGTTTGATCGAAAAAAAACTTCACCTCGATCTCACTATATTAGCTTTTAATGAACGCAACGCGGAATTACACAATCTGTTCTGTCTAAGAAGCATATTTTTTGGTTTTTTATATACCGTAAAGATCTCGGAACTCTATTGTAGGGGTGGATCAAGGAGTTTAGTGTACGTATATGGAAAATGTAACTCTTCAAGATTTCCAAGAACGATATCTTCCGGATGTTTATCACAACTGATATCCCAGCACAATCGCGACTGTATCTCAGCTTAGATAAATATTTCAAAATAAAGGTGTTTCTGTTTTACAGAATTAAAAAACTACAGGTGAAGACCGTTCTTCATCTGTAACATTAATGAAGATTTTAATTTAAATGAATATGTTTTAGGAATTTTATCATAAGACTGCAGATGTGTTCCAACCACATGCATTTTTCTATCAGTCTCATCCAAATGTTGTTAGTAAACATGCTCCTGTGGAAAATACTCCTGCATTGTTTGTCTATAAGGAAAATTTACATTATAATTTTAGTGGTAAATATTTGTAAAATATTGATATTACCTATAAAAATATATTTTTCATAATTATCAATAATATCAATGAATAAAAAAATTAATTTTTAATAACAAATATTTTGTAATAGGCCATGACATAAATAATATAGAAAAGTTAAATGAGACAGTATACAAATGGATAAATGCAGAACGTTTTCCTACATTCCCAAAAGTAACAAGAGGAAATATAAATCAACTTTTCCTGACAAATAAAAATCTAGTATTGGCAGTAGTAGAAGAAAATCAACTAGAAGAAATACCACTACACATGACACGGTTCAAAGATATGGTAGAATCTATAATTAAAAGCAAGCGAGAAAAATATCATGAGTAAGTTACATTTTATGAATTTGTATATTCTTTATTTTATTATTCAAAATGTGATTATAATTACTGTTTTGGCATTTAGTCAATTTCAGTTTGGTTGGATAGCTAATCCAGATCTAGTCAATAGTATAGCAATGATGGTTTTACCATTGCCAAGCTTAATTGTTATTAATACTACAACAAACCACCATCACATTCCAGAGGATGAAACAGAAAAACTGACTCCTCATGTGATAGAGTTGTTCCTAGAGCAAATTCGAAATGAAAGTGCTCCGGTATATAAGATATATTTTTTAAATAAATTTAAGATACTTTATGTGGTTAGAAAAAATTAACATTATGGCATATGTTTTCAGCGATATGGTGGAAACAGTTGGTTAATTCGTATATATAGATCATGGTTTGAATTAAAAACAACTCTTTCTGCAATGTGGATGGGTAACCCCATTCTAACAATGGTTTTGTTTGGTTTACCAGCAGGATTCTTATCCTTAATATGTTACGGTATTTGTTGTCCAGATATTTTAGATGCAGATGACGATGAAGAAGGTACATATTTCTTTTTCTGCAAACCAGTATCTATCTATGAATATTCATATTATTACTTTTTTAATGTTAAATGATTTTCCAGATCATCCAGGAGCAAATCATATGAAAAAAGATTGAAATAACTGAATTATTGTATTGTTTATATTAAACAGTTTTAAAAAATTTTTAATCTATTGTTTCTAATTTCATTTAGGTAATATTTATTAATTTTATACTACAAAATTTCGAATTACTGAGACGCTTTATTTATTATTCATTAGTGTAACAAAATTATATGAATTATGAAAGTGATTATTTTTGTAGTCAATGCAATGAAAGAGATTCTATGAATTATAAATAGAATGATAAAGATTTATCTTAGCTAAATGGAACTTTCATAAGACAATACAAATCATGTAAGTAAACGAGCTTTTTTTAAACTGCATAATAAATTTGTTTTACATTGAAATATGTAAATGTACTAAAGTTTTATGTAAAGAATGTAAGTGGCAAATAATGTTCTGTATACTTATATTTGGAATTACAGATGTATGTTTGTTTATGTAAATATAGTGAAAAGTATTTCATATCAGTGTTTACGTAAAGATTGTATATTTGATTTAAAACATGATAACTGTTTTAGGGATGGGGACCTATTACATTTTAAGTGTAGATTTATCTATATTTAATAAAAAAAATACTGTAATTGTACTTTAAATTTCTTTTTTATAAATATGGATAAAATTAACTAAATAAAAAAATATATAGGTGGAAAGGTGGATATAGAAATTTGAAAATAAAATCTGGATTAAAATAAATCCTGATACCTGACTTCAATTTTTTATTTCAATATATCATAAAAAATAAAAACATATGACTAATTAAGCGTACAGTTGTATTGTAATGTTAATACCTGTTCAAAAATTAAACAGAGAATGTTATGTCACTGTTTGTCATGGTTTGATAACCATGTATAAATATATGTATTTGCTATAAATCATCATCAGAATCCAATGCTGCTCTTCGTCTGTCAAACTGAAATTAATTATTTACAATTTTATTTTTTTCCGAAAATGTACATACATATATTGCAACTAACCTTCACAACAGTTTTTCGTTGTGTTTGTTGATTTACGCTTTCAAGTAAACTGATAAGTTCTTTTTCCCCTAATTTACCAGGTAACTGACCTCGTTGAGCCATGTTTAATATCATATCTTCTATCATTTTTCCTTTTTCAGGTTTTCCAAGACTTAATGTATTTACTAAAGAAGTAGTGTACATTAGAAAATTTTATACATCATATGTATATATATAATTTCATTATATTAATGGTCTTACATCTTGCTCTAGCTGATTGACTTAATACTTGGGTGAGAATGGAATTCTTCATGTCTTCCATTTGATGCATTTTTTCCTCCATTGCTTGTTTATTCTCTACATTATTACTCTGAACATTTATAAACGAATCACAATGTAATAACGATAAAAAATCAGTAATAAATGTTTATTTAAGTAATATCAGTATGCATATATGGTTATAAATAGCTTGAGCTGGCCAAATTTAAATTCAGTAAAATAACTTTAGTCATGAGATTGGAAATAATATACTATAATCGTTTATTATTTTCATTTGATTTTTATTGATGGTCTTATTAAATAAATTATCGTTATACACACTTGTCAAAAATGGTTATGTATTATATAATATTTTGTCTCTAATACAACTGATTTACCTTATATTGTGACTGCAACTGAGCTAATCGTTGTTGTCGTATTGCTTCAAGTTCTGGATCTGACATGTTTTATAGCGTTAATTTTTCACTATTTGATGTTTAATAAATTTTATTGGAACTCAATATTTTCTTTGATGTATACACTTTCTTCCCAACCTAATTCTCGGTATAGTATGTAACAAGACGATCGACTAGCGAGAAACATGAAGGTAGTCAAATATACACAATCAAACTCGAACGTAGAATGTTTAGTTAAAATTTAGATTCGCAATGAAATAATTCGGTGTAATTATATTTGTATATCAGCAAATATTTTTTAAATATGGAGAGTAGAAGAGTAGAAAAATTGTATATTGTATAATTATGTATGATAATGAGTTGTTATGAACAATAATTTGTTATCTACTGAATACAGTTTAATCTTAACACAATTACAAATTATCGGGTTGGCAATTAAGTGATTGCAGATTTTATCATTATCACCTAATGACAAAATCCTCAATTACTTAGTTGCTAATCCAATATTACAATTGACCTTGCTAAATACGTTAATTAAGGTAATTTAATAAAAAATTTTAATTTGACCTTATTTATTATTATTACTTGAAATATTGTAAACATGTATAATTTTAGGTATACTCAAAGTTAGTAATTTAGAGGTATTTAATTAATTTCATACTTTATTAAAATTTAAATAAAATGAACTGTGTTAAAATTATACATATGTTACACTTATATTTGGAAAAATGAAATATTAATAAATATACTATACAATTTATATTTATACAGAAACTTTATTGTTCTTGATCAGTATATTAAAAAGTACAAAGCCCTTTTAATTGTACATTTAATTTTGCACATTTAATATGTGTTCATTAATTTAGATAGTGTTTGTACTATCATACCATGGTGGCATCCAATTTGCTGGAGGTTTTGCTCTTCCTCTAGAAATAGGGAGAGTACCATCAATATTGTAATTTCTATCTGTTTGCCTTCTGCGAATCTCATTTTTATTTGTGTCAAAGATTCCATTATCCAAAACAACAAATGATTGGCCATTAGAGTGTTGCTTGGTGCTTTTACCAAAACTAGGAGAATATGGTCTGATAGTATTATTTTGAAGTACACAATCTGGTGAAGGATTATGTGTCCTTCCGGAAGACTGAAATGGTGGCGAATGTCTGCGTCGGAATCCTCTGGGTTCATCATCGACATTACAGACATGAAGTCGGTATGTTGGACTAGTTGATCTATCTTTCACTTTGGTACATTCCGGCATATTTACCTGTGTTTGTCTTTGCATATGTGTTTGCGAAGATTTCGAACTCCTATATTGTAATAATATTTGTTTCAATTAGTATATTAATTATAGACAAGCTACGCTTAAATCAAATGTATATATGTATGTAATTATTCTCTGAGGCATTAGCAATACACTAGACCTTTATATAGATATTGAATTTTACCAATCTTATTGAACATAAAGAAGTGTTACAGTATAATATAGAATTTATTAAATTCCTATTTACAAATCAAACAATCTTTTTGTATTTCTTCATTAATATGTCGGAACTAATTAATTATTATCTGATTAATTTCGTTCGTCGTATCATAGAAATTCATCATAAACGCGAAATTTAAGATATCTATGTTAAAATAAATTAAAATTTCAAATGCAAACCTTTGGCCACCTGTTGGTGGTTTTCCATAGACATTATCTTCATGAACTCGAGTATGTAGCACTTGGAACGCGTCCTGATCTTGAGCGGCATTTGTGAAACCAAATTGGTCTGCATTATTTATCCAATAATTTTCTTTTCGCCTGGAAGCGCTTAAACTACGATCTCGTTTACGATGCATTCTCAGTTCGTTTTGTAACTGATTCTCATGTTTCGAACAATAAGCTGTCTTATATTCCGGTTCAAGATCAAGATTACCCTCCAAACGTAAGTTGGCCGGCATTTTTAAAGTTTCAACCCTTGGTATATGACCATAAGGAATATATTGGGCTCGAACTTCACTTGTGAAATCGTGATCATGTCGTTTGGGCTCTTGTCTACCGAAACGTGTATATTTTGGAAGAATGTACGTTGATCTCAAGTTTAACGGTGGTTTTCGATATACTGGGTGGTCTCTTTGATAATCTAAATATTTCGAATTATATTCCGGATCTTGATCAATTTTCGATGTAAATCTGGGCGTAGGTGAGGGAGATGATATTTTCGTGCCATCCGCTCGTCCAATTTCATCTTCTGGCTTTACGATTTTAGGTCTCTCCCTTGGAAAATCCTATAAATTGTTAATAATTGTTAATAATTTTGTACGATAAAAATGAGTTGCTCATTGAAAAAGGGGCATGTATCGCATCTACGGTGGCTATGAAAGTATTTCTATATAAATATGTCGGGTTTACATTAGAATTAGTGTTAGGGGCGTGAAGCGAATCTTCGTTTGGATTACACGTCGTCGTTATGCAATAGAAAAGACATTGGCTAGTGCAAATACGATTAACATAGAACCGGACAAGTAACCGTGGTAATTAGATACTCGAGAAACTAATGACAATGATCCTAGGTTCAATAACGAATCCGCGGACAACGGGACGGTAGCCGTACGCACTCGCAAAGATCTAAGTCGGATTCTGTGTTAATGGTCGCTGGCGTTAATCTCTTTTTTTTGTCAATGAGACCGCAAGAGAGAATAACTTTCCGTCCCGGTGACACCCCAGAGGAAAACTATGACGGGGTGTGTCTAAGAGCATGAGATCATCGGATTCGTCGGGGATATCACACGTTCGGAAAGTAAGGGAAATTGACGTTGCTGCTACTTGGCCAATCTCCACATCGGTAG